TCATGAATCATGATGGGAAGATGAAAATAAGACAAGGATAAACAGATTTCAACCAAGTAAATGCCTTAAGCACTACAATTGGAAACCAAGAATTCTGTGTACTCAGTGGAAATTACATAAACAAAATATCTCAAAAGCATTATCATACATGAAAACTCCTATCAGTATTTTAATGTGATAATAGTTGTGGGGTTTTCTTTCCATCTAGATAAATGGTGAGCAGAAAATTGAAACTGAAGCACTCATGGTTATCTTCTTTCTACGGTTATAAACTACTAAGGAACAGCAATTGAATCTATAAATAAGAGCCAAATCCACAGGCTAACAAGGAAGTATCAGCAAGTAAAGTCATAGCAAAACATAAGCAGGATTGAAGTTCAAAGTAAGTTCCAAAAAGATTTGACTTATGTTTTATGCCAAAAACATAGTTAGTGAGGAAGGGACCCATCAAATCAATGTCCAATACCGCCACCATTCAAATTAGGGTCAAAAAATGCCACTAATTACTTCCAAGAGTGCATGACAATTGCAAGAAAAACAATGCAAGGAGAGGAATGTTACCATGTAATGCTGCATACAAGCTTCCATTACGGATGAAATCAGTAACCAGCAACTTCTCATCATTGGCATAATAATAAGCTCTCAACCTGACAACATTGGGATGATTCACCCTCCCAAGAGCCTCTACTTCAGCCTCAAACTCCTTAAACTTCCACGTGGTATCACCCTCACTCAACCTCCTCACTGCAGCAATCGTACTCCCCACCGTACCAGATCCCCTCCCAGTCACCACTTTGTACACTATCCCGCTCCTACTCTTCCCCACTACATACGCAGATGCCCTCAACAAGTCCTCTAATTCCAAATTAAACCCCTCATCAACCACCACGAATTTACCCTTTTGCCCTTCCTCATCAACCTGCTCTCCCTTTTTCTCTTTCCCCATTTTATCCTCCTCAGGCTTCCATTTTCTCCGAAACAGCCACACAAATATCGAAACCGCCCCGATCACCACCGAAACGCCTGAGATCAAGGGAACAGCCACCGACCCATTTTTCTCCTTCCGTTTCTCTCCATTCCCATCATCAAAGGTGGGCCTAAAACCATTGGGATTTTCAGGATTTTCTTCGGGGTTTACAAAAGATCTCGGGTTTTGAGCTTCCGGGCAAAGATTCCCCAACGGAAACCCACAAAGGTTAGGGTTTCCTGAAAATGCGGTGGGCCCTTGATTTAACAAAGAACCAAGTTGAGGCACTTTCCCTGTTAAATTATTGTGCCTTAGATCCAAGCTTATCATCACTGGAAACTCTCCATAAGAAGCTGGAATTTCACCTGAAAACTTGTTGTAAGACAAGTTTAGGGTTCCTGTCAAGCTCTTGAGCTCAACAAGTGACTCAGGGAGTGACCCGTTGAGTGAGTTGGAGGACAGGTCGAGGTGCGTTAAGTTTTCGAGGGATTTTATTTGTGGAGGAACTGAGCCATAGAGTGAGTTATGGGAAAGGTCAATGTAGACAAGGTTTGTAGCGTTGAAGAGACGAGAAGGAATTGGTTTTGAGAAGTTGTTTTGAGAGAGACTCAGGCGAGTTAGAGAGTCGAGGAAACCGAGCTCTGATGGGATGTAACCAGTTAACCCTTTGTTGGGAAGGAATATTGAGGTGACTCTGTTGCGGGTGCAGGCAATTCCAGGCCAATGGCATGGGGTTGAGTCAGACTCAGACCATTTGTCAAGGGAACGAGTGGGATCAGATTCTATGGCTGCCTTGAGAGCAAGAAGAGAGAGACCATCCGAGTTTAGAGAGGAAACAAGGGAAGTAAAGAAGAATAGAAAGGAAACAACTTTACGAAATGCAAGCACCATTTTCTTTTTCTATTTTGTTTTTGCTAATGCCAGTCTTTCAGAGGCTTCATCAGATCATGAATTTTGGCTTCATGCAACGAGAAGCTGCAGAACACAGGAGAAGATGATGAGGAGGAAAGAGGAGAGTTCTTTCATGTGTTTGAAAGTGGGGGGAGTGGGGGTGGGGAGTTCTTGAGGTGGGGAATGCAGAGAGAGTAACTTGGCTGGCTTTGTATACAAAAGTTTGAATCTCTGTGACCAGTGTTTTTACATACAATAGAGGGGAGACATTTTAAACAATTATTAGTTTATTGGACATAACTCACCTCAGCCTTGTACTCAAAACACTGACAAAGACATTAATCACATGGGAACTAGCACATTATTAATTGTATGATTACATTAAAAGCTGCTCTATCTTTTCTTGATTGCCTCAATACTACAGTTTGAATGAAAACATTTTCAATTTGTTGTGACAAAGTAGTCCACAACCACATACAAACAAAGAGGATGGATCCAGATTTTGGTATTTTTAGTACTAGAAATTAGGAATTCAAGTATGTTCTACTAGTACTATCTGTTTTTTCCATTCAAAGTATGCAATAGTACTATCGTCCATCTATGGCTGAAAACTGGAAATCTTGGGGTCGACAACCATGGCAACTTGCCATCGTTGAGATTATATCCCAGACATCATAATGTTTCCATTTTAGTTCAAAATGGGTGTTGAATAAATCTAACAATACTAGCATCCGTTTTAAGCTAAATCATGTAAAGTTGAATTGAAAGAAGAAAAAAGAAAGAAAGGGACGAAAGAGAAGTTTCAACTTTCAACGGATGCATCATACTATCACGTTCCATGTCTTCACTTCAAGTACATTTTTGGTCTTTTGATGTATATGCAAAGGGCCACGACGATTAGTCGTGAAGGAAGTATTGGAGGATATTATTTGTTAAATTTATTCAGTAAATGGGCATTTGAAACTTGAAAGTGTGAGGTGAGAGACCTCTCTCTTTGTTAATGTCAGAAAATCATTGAGGCAGGACCCGTTGCTCGTGAGGTCGAACCCTCACTTTTCAGTTTCCACTTGGAAAAAGGGTCCTTTACGTAAATTTCGGTCGCCATCAGCATCATCAGCTATTTTCTTTCGAGACTATGATTCAAAAAACTTCCAGTGGATACGACAGTCATAAAAAGTAGAAATTTGTATGCTCCATTGGTGTTCATACTCAGGACTATACGTTTGGCTTTATCTGAAAAGAAGAACTATTTGAAGGGGAAGTGGAGGTTCAAATTTCAAATTCCTCCATTGCCAATGCCAATGCCACCCAACATAGACAGACAAGAGAACAAGCGAATTTCATAGAGATACACTAATCATTTAGATGTAGGGATGTGTTGTTCAATATTAGAATGCATAAACTTTTTCCGCCTTTTTACCCAGTTGCTACCTTGGAGGAAATAGACACATGAACTGTGGAATTATTAAGTACTTACAATATCCTTAAATTATGCTTGGTTGTTTCTGTTCATGCAATACAAAAGGTACAAGAAACTACTCATTTCCATCCATTTACATCTAATGATAGGTGGTTTTATTTTTATCAAAAATACATGTTGTTCACCCATGAAAATTTAGCTCAATAATGAATATATATATATATATATATACACATATTTATTTATTCAAATAATGATTTCAAATCCTCAATTACTCAAAATTTTACTTGACTAAAAAATAATGCTCAAATTAGAACTAAATGCCCTTAATTGAAAAAATATCCAAACATTTTCAGTTCTTTATAATTAAAAGTAAAGATAAATACTGTCTGACGCGTGTAGGTTAAATGCTTTTAATTTATGATATGGATTTTAAATTTTTAATATGAAATATAATAACTAAAATTTTAACATGAAGTATGACAATTAAATTTTTAACATAACTTGTAACAAGTATATTTTCAACTTAACGTGTAATAATTAAATTTTAAAATACTATGTATAATATTATGTTTTTCATAGCTACCATATTATCAGCTCACATGATTTTTTTATCACCTGTGATACACGTTTCATCTACTTATTAACTTAACTCGTAATTATAAAAAATTAAAAATATTTAAACTTTAATTATTACAATTAAACGTTTAGCTCTTAATTGAAAAAAATATTTAAATGTTTAACCTCAATTCAAGCTAAATAATAATATATTGATGAAAAGTTGTAATGATTGAATAATTGACAAAGTAGGTGAGAGGAAAGTGTGGTGGCATCGAAATTCAAATTCCATGAAGCAGTTAAGAAGATTAGGATTTTAACAAAAATTATGTGGTTCGGTTGTTGCATTGTTAACATTCAACTTGATATGATGATGTTGAACTTTTCTTCGTATATCTTTTCAATGGTTGTAGTCTTTACCAGGCAAGGATGATGAAATTAACAGTCCCATAAGTAAAAAGAATGCAAATGCAAGACCCAAGTGCCACTGCAAGAGAAAGCTTGAGTGCTGAGAGCACTACCGCAACCCAATATACCTAATTCGATTTTTAGCACCAAAAAAAAAAAAAAAAAAGGGAAGAAAAAGAAAAAGCAAAGGATACTTTTACCCCCCAAATGGCTTTTGTCCCACGTCAATGGGATTCTTCCCCTTTGATGATAATAAGAACAGAAAAAGTATGCGAAGCCACGAAGTGCCCTTTGGCAATAGGTAGAAAGCATAAAAAGCTACCTTGCCGAAGGCAATTTTTATGGAATAAAATCCTCAATACTTTTTTGTATGGAGAAAAAGAATCCAACCAACCTGAACGGGTTCCGAAGCATTCACTAAAAACAATCAAACTTTTCTACTAAGGGTATTGTAGCTTTAACCTTACAAGTTATATGCTGAGAGATAAGTGTTCCCAACTAATTTAAGGTGAAAGTAGCTGTGCCATTTATCCCTTTATGATAGATGGGTCAATTTGTTTCACCAAAAATTTGCCATACCCTTGCTTAGTAATCACAGTAGCAGCAAGCACAAATAATGATTTGGCCAAAACGCCAAACCCTTCCACTGTGCCTCCAGTTCAACTCTTAACAACAGTTTCATGGCATTAATTTTCCATGTTGTTCCTAATCTTCCTCAAAAGAGTGGATAAGGTGGTGATCAATTGTGACTAGTACTTAGGACGAAACGTAATTGTATTATGTCAAACAACAGATTAGAAATCTTGAATTGTAATTTGCAACTAAGTAGTTAAATCTTTGACGTAGATGATACAAATATACAACACTATGTGCATAGCTCTAGAAAATCAATTGTAATATTTATTTCCAGTCAGAATCTAAAGCTAAAGTTTTGATTTACCAGACTTCCTTCCAGGCATCTGCAATGCATCATAGTGACCAAAACCATAATAGAGAACTCTGATTGGATTTTCAGTGCCATATTCTTGGCCATACTCTGCAATGGCAATCAAGCCACCAGCACCCTTGTCGTACATGTAGACGGTGATTGGCATCCTGTTTGCATCAGTCATAGATATATTTATCCATTGATTGATTTAAATAAGGAACACAGAAAAGTAAAATCTGCCATGCAATGCATCAGGAAAAGGTTCTTTTAAATGCTCATATATACTAGGAGAAAATATGTATTATATAGTAATGTTCACAATTCTATGCATTAAATTTGTTTGGTCAAGGAAACAGACGCCTGTTTATACCATGCTCAATAAACACACATAGACAAAGACTTACTCTAGAACATGAGAAGCCATGAACAGTTCAGGTTCACCTCCCCACACATGTGGCTTCCTTATTTGTGATACATAGGCATCAAAATCTCCCTCAACAAACCTGTTGGCATCGTTAAGACATCAGAAACTTGTTTGACGGAAAAATTAAACCTAAGGGTGTGTTTGTTTTGAAGTAAAAGCTTTTCCGGAAAACATTTTCAAGACATAATGGTGTTTGGATGACTGAAAATGAAATCCTAAGGGAAAAAGTTTTATAGGTCAACGGGTAAAAGACCTGTTGACTCCAGAAATTGTCTTACGCCCTTGAGGGATGTAAGACAATGTCCACCATGCTAAAAAAGACATGTTAAAGAAAAAAAAAAAACTCCTGCCCTAAAGCCCTCAGTCCTTAGCTCTATCATCCCTAGCCTCCGACATGATTTCAACTTTTTATTTCCTTCAAAATAATAAGTTCTCAGATCAGCATCTTTTATTTCCTTCAAAATAATAAGGTACTTAAACGTTTGGGGCAAATATTTTCCAAAAGATGATTCAAACAACGGAAAATGTTTTCGACAGTTTATCCAAATTATAGAAAATATTAAATTTTCCTATAAAATATTTACATAGAAAAAATTTCCTTTGACAACTTATTTTATGGTTAACAATTAAACCCTAAATAAAGCAATTTCTTCCCTTGATAATATGAGTGTCATCTGCTTTTGTCTAAGGGCCTTGACGAGCATTTTTCATTTACAAAGTTAATTAATTCATGCTCTTCAGAGGAGTAACCTGCTTCGTTACTACATTCAAGTTTGCTAGGCAAGGTTGCATCATGAATAAGACAACCATACAAATACTTAGAAGTTCTTCATCTCAGAAGAGGCATCATTAAACTGAAAATTAACTTTAATGAGTTGCCTACATGACTCCTGTCAATGATTTCTTTCTTTCATTTCATAGTATTTAACAATAGATGGACGATTCTACGGGCAACAAAATAGCTGAGAGCAAAAGGGACAATGAAATGAGTCTAAATGTTGACTAAACTTAAAACTCAGAAGACTTACCATTCTGTTTCTTTTCTTCTTTTGATGAACTCATCTGCAACCTGAAAAATTTAATAGAATATGAGAAAAATCAGGGAGAGCAACAGTTACAAACATTGCAGAAAACACAAGCCTGCATTATGCATTAAAAATGAAAAGATCTGTCAGTGCCACTAGATAAGGAATCATCACGGAAGATGTATTTTGTAAAGAAACCAGTATCACTTTTGACTCAGTAAAATGCAAACTTAGCAAATGCAAGTCGTAAAAAAGCATATTCTACTTGTGATTGGTGTACTGCTCTTTCTATAAGTTCTTTTAATCAGTACACCAATCACAAGTAAAATATGCCTTTTTATCAAACAAAAAAAAAAGTAAAATAATTATGGAAGCAGATTAAGAATATACTTTAGCCCGTAAGTCATCTGCTAATTCTCTCTGAACGTGCTCACTTGGAGCTGATTTCCCAGACCTTAAACAAGCTCCATGAGCCACAGAACGGAACATACATCTCCCATCTCCAGGTATTCCTGAACAACGTAGGGCTCAGGGAAGTGACTAAACTAATGCCTCCAATTTAAATTTAATAACTAGGCATAAGTACTTTCAGTACTGGGCCATATAAGTACTAGGGTGTAACCTGCCACTCACCAATAACAGAATAGTCAGTATAGACTTTCTTCCCATGAGAGAATTTAGCACGAGAAGACTCACAGTCATCTTCCTTATGCTCCTTTGCCCCAGCAGCTTCTGCATGTACTGGTTCAGAACTTGAATAACAAACCAACAAACCAAAAACTAAGCCAGCAGAGGCCCAACCTTGAGGCCAGGATATAGGTCCTGCAGTGCATTTGAATTTCTTAAGTGTTCCTTGTTTGGGCAGCAAAAACTTCATTTTCATACTTTGGCCAGGCCAAGAAATTTCAAGCTGTCTTCTCTGCTTTGTTGTATCACTAACTGATTCCTTAACCACTAGTGACTGCAATTTCCTACTTCGCCTGGATGAGTGAAAGCAGCCTGCTTGAAATGCTTGGTAGCCAACAGCAGGTGAACCAGATGTTGTATAGGAAACAGAAAGATCAGTATATTTTGTCTTGGAATGTCCTGAGTATGAAAAATAGTAGCGTGAACTAGATGGTTGACAGGAAATGACACTGCAGAGACTGCTCCCCATGCGGCCCCTCAAGTGGACAATGTTCTTTGCACATGTGCTGATGGGAGAACAAACCATCATGTTGGAATAACCTGATGAACAAACACAGTACAGAAAGCTAAATGCCCAATAATCAATAACCATAAATGTCAAAGTTATACCATCAAAGAATTAGCTGACTCAAAAAATAATCATTGATTTCAAATCAAGTTGCATTTTTTTCATTACATAGAGATCATAAGTAGGTATCAGCCAAATCACAGAATAATAAAGCTCAAACCATCAGGCAGGAGTATATGTAGGTCAAAGAAGTAAGAAATACTTGTATTTCAATACCTTGACCTGCAGTTTTATACTTGGCAATTAGGGACAATGGTTTGGTCATGGCTTCTTAGAGAGAAGCTGTGATAATGAGCGCTAATGACAATAGTATCGTCGATTCCTATTACTTCATGAAAATTTGTTTCTTAGAGTTGCCTCTATAGTGTTTGAGGCAATAGCCTAATACTAGTCACACCTTACCTCCAAAGAGGGGTCCAAAGTGTTAATCCCCTCCCTGCCCCCAACTTAACAAATCACAAGAATAATTATTCTTATTATTATCTATATAAAACAGTATAAGAAACTACTTTATCTTATTACATACAGACAACAGAGTTATCTCAGAAATAAAAAATGAAGCAACTTTGTTTTGCGTTAGTTCAATTGTTGTCCTAACCTCATTCTTGGCCATAAGATTCATGGCAACCTGAACAGGCCAAGCCAAAGAACGAATTAGGTTGACTGTTGAGTTTGGAATGTTCAATTCTCAGTTTGAAGATCTGAACTGAATGTTAGCTTTAAAATTTCATGTCAATCTGAGAACCCTGGCCAAAAATCATATTAGGTTCATTGTCAACTCAAGCCTCCTTTATACCACTCAATACCATGTCAGAATAACTAAAGAAAAATTTTCCCATAAAAGAAAAGAAAGTGATTCCTTAGAGAAAGTTAAGATACCAAGCAATTAGCAAAACATCAAGAAGCAAAACAGAAGAACAGGGTGATCATGTCACTTTCTTTCACTCTTCTTTCAACCACTTAAGTTTCTTGAAGTCATATCCCTAGAGGCTAGATGAGGACAACTTTAACACAACATAAATTTATTCAATTTGAAATCATATATGAATATTATCATTCTTTTGCCACATTCATGCTTACTGCTTTCTTAGCATCTTATGGAAACGACCTAGACCAACACGATTCGCCTATTATTACCAATCCTGATTCCATTATTCCACGATTAAATCTACCCTATTATCACCTAAACAACTAAACAACCAGGTTTGCACTCTCTTTCGCTGGTTTTCCATTTTTCCCCTTAATTGCATCATGGGTTTTTTTCTTTTTTTGTAACTATTTGATATCTATCGACAATATAAATAGCAGAAATGTCCAGAACTAAACAAGAGAGACCAGATTAAATAAGATTAGATAAAATGCAGTAAAAATCACAAAGTATAGTTAAAATTTGTGAGAATATAAACAAATTAGAAACGAAAGCGTTGCATTTTAATCGCTTAGCATACAAATTGGAAAAGAGAAAAAAAAAAAAGAGAAAATGATGAGTAGAGAACAGAAAGCTGAAATGCGAACCTGTTGAGTTGAGAAAAAGGGAAAATGATAAAAGAAAAGGAGGAAATGGGAAAAGGAAATATAAATGTTCGTGAAAGGAATGTAAAAGAGAAGAGAAAGCAAAGAATGAATTACCTGGGAATAAGAGAATAGCACTTTTCAGAATACACAAGCAATGGATTTTTTGGCTTCTCTTCCTAAAACTTGTTTCGATTCATTTTTGGATTCAGGATTCCCAGATACGCTCACGTTTCTCTCTTTCGATTAAGCGACAGTACGGTGAGGGATTCCAGTCTTCTCAGCATACTTTACTTTTATATACTTTTAAATACTTGTTATATACATTAATAACAATTAATTTGTTTGATAGAAAATAAAAACACAAAAATTTAATTAAACATAATAAAAAAATTGAGATTTATGTAAATTTTTTAAAATAATTTAGAGATTTTCTGAAATATTATGTTTTTTTTCTTTATAATTTGATTTAATCTGAATTAATTTTAGATTCTAATGATTCGATATAAAAATTGTGATAGTAGTATAGTTTTGAAGGGCGTACGCGTACCTAGGACATAGCGTATCTGATGTGGAAAAACTATTTAAATCCAAAGCCAACTCTTACCTCTTCCAACAAGGTGCACTTATTATTTGCCGTTGCTTCAAATGAGTTGAATTCTTGATAGTAAAAAGTCAGGGAGGTGTAATAAACAAAGTCATTGCATAGCAGAAAGTAACTAGGAAGGAATATCTACAAATTTCTTCTCTTTTTTTATATCAAAATAGTAACAAAACCATGCAGACAGAGCTGTTGATTACACACAGAAGAGGAAGGTCCAGATTTGTGAAAGGATGTACAGCTGCTTCAATTACACACATAATTAGGGTATCCTTGCCTTGCTATACCGCTATTCAGTCACATCCCTAACAGGAATCTGAGCTTTCTTCAACTCTCCATGAATAGAGTTGCTAGCACTCTGCTGCTGAAAGAAACATCAGCCTGTTAATCTAGACCTTGCTGCATTTCCACCAGAAAATGAAAAGATTAAAGGAAACCCTTAAAGACGCATGATAGCTCTCTCTGCACGTTCAAAATTGCGCCCATAGTGAATGCTTAAGGACTCTTCTTCGATTCTCAGCCTGCAGTTCAAGGAAAAGTCAGCCTAAGATCCTCCAATTGTGTTACACCATCACAATTCAGAGACGGCATGCACAAGAGCAAAACAACTTGAGATCATACTTTCTCCCTACATATTGTAGATGATTCACCAAGTTAGCAACGAATGGAATCACAGAGACATTGCCATATTCAAAGGCTTATGCTCATGCCCAACAAGAAGTTGGAAACAGGGATATATTGCATATACATGATCCTTTATGGTGAATTGAAATACTACACTCTATGGAAAACTTCAAAAGATAAATAATATATTCCCCATAATGCCAATTCAAGCATAACTAATGCTTTGAATCCTTTGATCATTCTTCTAGTCATTTAGAGCTTACAGAAAAATCCATCACGAACCTGTTATCATCAACTGCAAAAACCATTGAAAATGTATCACGAGGATAAGGCCAACTCCTGGAAAACCAACCCTCGGTGCTCAAAATTTTTGAATTCGTCAAAGCTAGCACAACCTGGACTTAGAACAATGGCATCACCTGCATCAATGTAAATGTACATGAATAATGCGATGTCATCATCATTACCAACAACCCCAAAATCCTAGGGGGCAATAATGAAGCACTGGAAGGCAAACTTGGCCGTTAGAATTAGAAGCAAGATATTTTAATCTGTTCTCTTTCTCTTCCACTTTCTTATTTTGACTTTTTGCATTAAAAGTTTATTTTCTGAGATTATGCTCAAGAATGTTTCAAAAGCAATAGCACCTATTTTATAATCTATTATGATATTTTCACCTTTAACTTTTCTCTTTATACAATTCAAGAGTATGTGATATATGTTACATGGCAAAAAACTTGAAATACACAATAGTACTGTCTAAGAAGGATCATGAATTGAAACTAAATAAGCATAATGATTTCAACCTGGCACAACTGTGTGATAGACAATTAGCTTATCTTAGAAAGGTAATATGACTATATGAGTAAAAGAACATAATAAACTACAATCTATATTTGAAGAGAACAAACCATGCTTTGCCATCTTCCTAGCATGTTTGACCGCATCCTTCAGATTTGAGGCTTGAATACAAGGAATGCTAAGACCATTATTGGACAACGTGTCATGAATCAGGGATCCTGAAGACCCAAACTTTGGGCGTTCATACAAAATCAATTTAGAAACAATGCACAAAAAAAAAAAAGAGGAGAAACACAGGAAGTAAGAACTTTGAATTGGAAACTGACATCAATACATAGCAAACGAGCATAGATCAAGAAGAAACATCTCACATACAGTTATTACACATCTATGGCCCTTCAGTGGCTCTATCAATAGTTCAAAACCATTTGATGCTGGCCCATTTAAGACCTGCAAAGTGAACAGTAAAACACAATCCACCAATATTCAACATGGTTATAGTATGAATAATTGCCTATGAAAGTCTTATAGAGAATTAAGAAACAGAAAATGTAAAAGAAGGCATTAGCTCATGACTCAACCAATATCATGTTTGGGATGGTAAGCAAAGTCCAAGTTCAGCCACATCCAATGCTCTAATTCAATTTTATGATACAAAAAAGGGGGAACAAACATCACCTTTTGCTAAGCTTTGCAGCCAACACCGAAGGCACCAAAGTAGTGATGAAAAGAAAAGTATAATCAGAATAAAAGCAAAATATCCAACCTTAGCAAGGCCACCAAGTAGAATCACTGCCTTTTGTCCCTTCAGACCCGTAAGTCCTGCATATGTGGCTTCAACGTTTGTTGCCTTGCTGTCATCCACCCATGAAAGCCCATGGATATCCTTGCACACTACATGATGAACAACTTGCCAAGAATCAGAAAGGAGCAGTGTCCTGCTAAAAGCTCAGGGACTAGGCAAATAATCTAAGATTAGCTGATAAAAAATTAGCAGTTTAAATGCTCAAACTCAACATATCTGGTGGAATTAACTTCACTAAGTGCTGCATCTACATGCAAATCATTTCAGAGGTCGAAATATCTACCTGTTTGGACTATTGTTAAAAGACAATGAGATAAGTGATTAATTGTGACAACAGCTTAACTTGTAAATAGCATCTATCATGCTGTTCAACTTCCTTAGGTGGCAAATTTTTTTGTTACATTGGACATGTGTTATGCTAAAATAGATAATTCCAAATTAAAGATCAGCTTGATACCACTTGAGCACTGGCACATAACAATAGAAGCCTTTTCTTATTTATTGTTCTCAAACAAGACCTTTATGATATTATAGCTTGCATAGCAGACAAAATTAAGGCAACCATATTCATCTACATATAATGCCAATAAATTGATGAGGGATCTTACAAACATAACAAGACTAGAAAAGGCAGCGCAACCACCATAAATTCTAATGAGTCTGCTACCATTAAACAAAAGTAAAAAAGGAAAAAGAGAATGTCAAACAAAATGCCATTTCTTTGCTAGAATTGTCAGGGCTAATGCCTTCAGCTAAAACACAACTATTTTTAGTCTTCATGATTTATTAAAAACTTCTTTAACTCTGTCCAGAAGGTAAATGTACGTCCGGAAGAGTTTCTATTAGTGGAAACAACCCAGGCTTGGCTTAGCAGTTGTTACCCTTCTTAGGAGGGAAATGGTGCAAGGTTCAAAAGGTTTCTGTTAAGATGTGGTCTAGCTGCTGCATGATTGGTGCAAGATGCATTTCAGCAAAGGCACAAATTCAGCAATTCTACAGTCTAATTTGGCATGGCAGGGAAATTTCAAGTTAGATTTAACAATTTAAGACCCCTATATAGTTCAGCTAAGCAGAACCATCAAGAATACCCCAACTATGTCCATTGAAATTATGATGCTTACCAATTTGCATTCGATGAGGTGGTGCCCTCAGTTTTTCAATTGTTGCATTGATGGCTTCAACATCCAGTCCAACATCCAGTCCAGCCACAGACAACGCAGCCACTGCAGCATTACAATAGTTGTGCTTCCCTATAGCTCTCATGCCACCAAGTTGCAGTTGTGATGCAACTCCTATATCAGGAACTTCAAAGCTGGCAATTTTTGCCTCCATATCAATCTTTCCCATACAAGCAATTACCATCAACATCCCATGCAAATTAATGACAACTGATTACAAAAATTATACTTTCCATACCAATTTTTTATAACAAGTGGTTCTAAGAAAATAAGTTTGATTCTCAGCATTAAATTTCATGGGCTTTTTCTTGGCAATTTTCATTTTATTTATTTAGTGAAGAAAGGACCTAGCAATGTCAATGTTACAACAGCCTGGAGCAACTTAATTTCCTAATGCTTTGCCCTACAACCAGAATACCAGATATTCGGCCATCTATGTATTTGGACCACCAAATATCTATTAGTGACTTGAACTAGACTATAAAAAAGGCATTTAAAGAGATTAAAGTATGGCTAAAATACAAACTTTTCCCAATGACTACAAGTAAAGTAATATATCTTACTTTCACACCCGGAAAAGCTCCTATCCAAGCGAGATTAAATTTGTTCCAATACTTCCTAATTGCTTTATCCAAGTGCTGATTCCCTAAAAGGTAAATGTGGTTAGCTGTCAAAAGAAAGAGCAACTGCAATCTCCATGACAAATTCACCCTTAGATGCATCAGGGGGTTACAAGTCCACAATTCAAGCATATGGAATAAGGTGGAAGCAGAATAAAATAGACAAGGATTACTTCCTCATGCAGTGTCAAAAAGGAACATACCAAACGAAAGAAGTCCCAACTTGGTGTTTGTCATGTGAGAAAATAAACGACACTTAGTTGCTGCATAACTCAGCATTGTCTTGTGTCTTTCTAAGTGATCAGGGGTAAGATTTAATACCACAGAAACCTACAAAAATGTTTCATATCACCAGATTAAAAGTTAAAAATTAATAAATAAAAGCACTTCAGCAGTTGTCAAGCAAACTTCTCTATGTTACTCACAGTAGGGCAGAAGTACACACAGGGAATTTCCATTTGATAGCTGCTGACCTCCACTACTGCAACCTGGAAAAGGTCAAAATGTACAGTCTATAGGTGCTTCTATATATTAGAGAAAATTAGAAACTGATAGTTGACAGTGGCTTTAAGGAGATGATGGAATCATTTATGATTCTAAAAATGCAGATTGAGAAAATAAGTGAATTGCGCGATAAGATATCATTCAAAAAAAAGAGAACATCAATGAGACTCACCTTAAGCTTGCATTCTTCTGACGGCAATTTGAAACACTGAAAGGCAACCTCAGAGAGTGGATTTCCAAGGTTTCCACCCACAAATGTATCAATAGCAAAATGGCTAAGCATCTGCCATCAAATGATCAAGATAAACATAAATCACAGGAAGAGTGTAGTGAGCTTATATAAAAAAACTTAATGCTCAGAAAGACAGGAATATAAAGCTACCCCAATTACTATAGCTTTTATCTTGTCAATACTGCCATGGCCATAGGTCAGAAAGCATTTCTTCCCCCATAAGAACAGGATGGAGGAAGTCATAGGTTCAATTTCCCTTCACTCCATGGATTAATTGTCATACGTAAAAGAAAGTGAATGGGGAGGGACGAGAAGAACCCGCGTTTTACAGCAAGTGACAGTTACATGGAATCATGGATAATGCGGCTTTAGAAGATAAAAGAGCTAACTTGGTGTCAATTAAAAAATATACGTTTGAGGCAGTGTTCCACTAATTCTAAACAGGACCTGTTCTCAAAGGGCGTGTTACTTCATTTCAGCTCTTACATTTCAGTTTCCACTAAGAGTGATCATGTGTTTTCTTTTATAACAACTTATCTTAGACATCTAGCAATGTGAGACCTTTTAATATCAAGAATACACAACAAGTATAATGCATTAATACAAAGATAATATGATACAAAAACAATAAGACCAAATAGTAGAGGAACCTGTCCAGCAAAAGTTACAACAGTGGATTTCCCATTTGTTCCTGTCACTGCCAAAATTCTGACACTTTTTGGGAGAACTTCTGCTGCAAAGTCCAACTCAGACATGACCTGCTTTCCCTGCATATAGACAGAAATGATTATAAAAAAATTATTAACTAAGGCATAGAAGGAATGAAAAAGTTTATAGAAGCATAATTACAGTCCTTTTTGTTCACTTTGCAAATGAAATTAGGCAACCATGCAAGATAAAAATCACAATATTACCCTCCATATTTCTGTAGGAACAAAGATGAGTCCTATTGCAACTTCACTTATGTCAGTACATGCTGTTCAATGCAATTTGTGTGAATGAATTGTAAATGAACATACCAAAGCATCAAATAATCAGCTTCCATAAAAGACACAATTATTTAACTGCATCCTATAAGTCATAAAATTTTATAAACTGATGTTCATGAGAATTACCGACTGCTGCAAAAATGATTTTTGTTAGCTATAGCTAAGAGGGCTACAGTCTGTCTTTCTGTTGTTCACATAAAAGTAATAGGCCTGCCAACCCTTATTTCTCACGACAACAGATTCCTTAAATAAAGACATGAACTTACTGACTGCAACAAACACGAAAGACCATAGTTTTCTAGGGGAACTCCAGGAGAAACAACCACCACATCTGCATCATTAAGCAGCTTCCAATCAAAGTGTCCAAGGATTGTCCTTAACCCAGTTTGTGTCAGTGTCACAAAAGAAGGATCTTGCTGCAATTAATAGCAAGTTATGCAATAAAATTGGGTACAGAGAACCAGTGTGCACATGCACATGTGAAGAGATTTTTAGTGACCACAATAAATTTCAGAGCATGAAGGAGTAGACAATAGTATACCTCCAACAAACTCAAATTCTCATTTTGGTCGATGCCTATAACTGAAGCACCTCGAGTAAGAGCAAGCCTTGCTGCAGCTTTTCCAGATTTTCCTAAGCCAACTACCTGCAATTCAACTGTGATATAGCAATTGTTTTTGCATTAAAAGAATCCTTCAACAACACATTGTGTGCCAATGTGAGAAAGCAACACATACAATGACTGGAAAGTACTTAACCAAGATTAAATAGGGTAGAGATTCCGATTTTTCCTTTTAAAGAAAGAATTAAATTGAATTTCTATGATGCCAGTTTCCATAACAGCTACAGATGATAAGACAACATTCAAGTTGCATAATTTTGCTTTTGTCTCTGAAGTGCACAAGGCTATCTACCTACTGCCTGAACTGCTTGTCTCTGTTATTTTACAGGATATAATTCATTTCCTTTGTCTTCACTTATTCCTCTCTCAAGTGAAGCGGGCCTACTCCTTAAGCACATTATGATAGGTTGAAATACCAACAAGTAGAAATTATACAAGAGAAAAAAATCCACAAAACTGGAAAAGTGAGTATACTAAATTAATTGCAGTGGACACCTTTGGCTATCAAAGATATTGCTTCTTTTGTGAATATCCAAGCACGTTTTAGGTAACTATTTCTGCTAAGAAAAATGACCATTAATCGAAATCCAAACTCTCTTTGTGTTCCTTTTCAACATTCCAACTCCTTCAACTTGGAACCAAAATTTAAGCTTTTAGTTAAAACCAATCTTAATGCTAGTACTAATCAGGATGAAGCATGCAGAAAATGTGCAAAATCCTCTTCTTTGAATTGTGATTAAGCTTAGTAACAGAAGTCACAATTTGGAGATAACAATGAACAATGTGATATAAAGAAGAAAAGATAAAAGCAAGTTAAGAAGTGCTTACAGCAACAGTCCGGCCTTTGAGGTCCTGCCTGAGAGAGCAAGATTGAATGGTTCTTGGGTAAGTGGTTTTGGGAGAGTGAATGGATTTAAGAGGGAGTGCTTTGTGATCATAGTCCAGACGCAGCAGCTTCATGGCTTCTGCAGAAGAATATTGAGGTGACTTTGTGTTGTGAACTTAGGCCTTTGGGGTTTTACCATGCCTTTGGTATTTGATTTAATGGGTTTGGACCTGAATTGCCGTTTTGGACTGAGTTTGAAATAAAATCCTCTGGCTTCTTTCATGGGTCATTGGCAAAAATTAACAGAAAGAAAAACAGAAACAGAGAAGATCAAGAAAGGACCTACCTAATATTTTAACCTTCGGGCTTGGGCGACAAATGCTTCTTACTGGGAACGGAAACAGATTCTGTGGTTGACTTAGCGTTCCTGACGATGACTTAGCGTATTTAAAGTCAATAACATCCCAAGTCACTTAAACTTGTCCGAAATTTCTTATCTTCAACAAACGTCGTCAAACAGCCCGGGGCAAAAGTTGTCTTTGTCAATAACAACCAATCAGATCAGTATCTACATTGAATATAAAGATGGTAGTATTTGCTTATATGATTTAAAAGAAAGGCAACTACGGCCTAGTGGTGTCTAATTCTCCTAAGGTGTTAAGGAGAGATCTGAGCTGTTAAGAATGAGTGCGAAGCGAGAAGGCAAGAGAGAGATGGTTGAACATTTTAGCCATCAACATCTGCTGGAATCCTCGTGGCGGAGGAACAAGTACGATACGGCTCGTTGCTCTGGGTGTAGGAAAGAAGTCACGGATCCGGGCTACTGCTGCCCTGAATTCGGATGCAAGTTTTATCTTCACAAGACATGTGCTAAGTTAGCACCCAAGATTAATCATCCCTTTCACCCTCCACACCCTCTTACTCTTCTTGCAAAAGCACCCTATGTTAGATGCTTTTGTAATTTCTGTGGCTGGCTTTGTATGGGATTCGTTTACCGCTGTGCTGCTTGTGAATTTCACCTGGACGTCAACTGTGCTAAGCTTCAAGTATCCGTTGCCGGCAACTTTGAAAAACTTGAACATTTCAGCCACCAACACCCATTGACCTTCAATGAAAAGTATAACAAGAAAGTCTACGGTGATTGCCAGGGATGCAGGAAACCATTATCAGGTCCGATTTACAGGTGTTTGGATTGTAGTAAGTTTGACCTTCATAAGGAATGTGCAGGGCTACCCCGGGAATTGAATCATCCCTTCCACCCTTCACACCCTCTCATTCTTCTACCCATATCACCAAATTTTCCTTCAACTGTAAGGATTTGCAATTTTTGTCACTCTATTTGCGCAGCATTTGTTTATCACTGTTCTTCTTGTAACTTCTATCTTGACACCGGATGTGCTTTGCTTAAGCAATTTCTTGCTGGCAACTTCCTTAAACTTGAATACTTTTGCCACAAGCATCCATTGACCTTCTTTGAAATGCACAAGAATGAAATCAAAAATCCTTGTTCTGCTTGTGGAAAGCTTCTATCAGGTCCAATTTACAGCTGCATCGATTGTGGGTTTCACCTTCATAAAACATGTGCTCAGCTCCCCCTTAAATTTGATCACCCCTTTCATTGCTTTTGCGAAGATCTTCTCGTTCTTCAAGCAGAATGGCTAAATCCTTCTCAAGCTACTTGTAGTTTCTGTAACAGCGGTTTGCGGGGACTTATTTATCACTGTGTTTCCTGTAAATTCAATCTTCACATCATCTGTGCGCTGCTTTTACCACTCAAGACTGAAAAGACTCTTGTGATTCAACATTTTAGTCACGTGCATCAATTGATCTTCGTGGAGAAGCATGGTGATGAAGTCAATGGCTCCTGCCGCGGGTGTGGGAAAGTACTCTCAGGTCCTATTTACAGCTGTGTTGAATGCAAGTTCCACCTTCATAAGAAATGTGCTGAGCTTCCTCGCGAGATTGATCACTCTTCCCATCGCAAGCATTCTCTTGTTCTTTTGGCTGAGCCACCAAGTCATCAAAAGGGATGTTCTTGCTATTTGTGCAAAAAACAATGTAAGGGATTTGTTTATTACTGCTCTGATTGCGACTTTGGCAACCTGCTTGAAGACGTTGAGGATGTTTCCCTTCCGCGCGAAATTAAAGTCGAAACTCATGAGCACCCATTCAAGCTTCTCTTGAGGCCCATCTCATTCACCTGTGATTTCTGTGGCATCAATGGAGATCGCACCCCTTATGTATGCAGTGACTGCGACCTTGTGATTCACAAGAATTGCATTAGGTTGCCAAGCGCTATCAAAATAATGCGACACCCTCATCGAATATCGTTTCAACATTTTCTTCGACAAAAGAAATCTAACAAGCTGATGTGCAACATTTGTCAGGAGGAAGTAAACACAGAGTATGGGAGTTATTATTGTTACATATGTCACCAGTATATAGCTCATGTGCGATGTGCAACAGATGATTACATTTGGGATGGAACTAATCCGGATGATGAAGATCAGAGGTCCAAGGGAGCATTGTCTTTGATCACTAGTGTCATTGAGGAGATAAGACAGGGAGAAGATGTAATAGCAGCTGTGATTAAACATGCCTTTCACCAACACATCTTGATTCTCTCCCTTAGGGATGAAGCGAAAGATGACAGGAGTTGCAACGGCTGTATGCAGCCTCTCTCAACTCCTTTCTTCAGTTGTGAACAATGTCAATTTTTTCTCCATAAAAAATGTGTTGAATTGCCTAGTGTAAAGGAACATCCACTACATCGGCACCCGCTCGTTCTCTACAAGCCAAATAATGCAGAATACCCAAGAACGTGTAGCGCTTGTTTACAACTTCATCATGGATTTACCTACAATTGTGAAAAATGCAACTTCCACATTGACATTGACTGCAGTTTATTATCGGACACCTTGAAGCATGAAAGTCATGGTGCGCATCATCTGTATCTTGACCACAGGTATGAAGGGAATTGCAGTGCTTCTGGCGAGCACATAACATTTCGAACAGGTGCATATAGATGCAAGCATTGTGAATCATTTGCCGTGAGTTTTAAATGTATCAAGCTACCGCGCACGGCTTCCTACAAATATGACAAACACCTTCTTACTTTAACTTACTTTGATCATGTTGATCCTAGCCAATGTTATTGTGATATCTGTGAAGAAGAAAGAGATCCAAAGTATTGGTTTTATCACTGTGCATATTGTGATACTTCTGTTCATCCCCAATGTGTACTTGGTGAACTCCCATTTATCAAGCTCGGAAGCATTTACATACACCATGTTCCTCCTCACTGTCTTACATTTGTCAGAAAAATCTGGGACTGCCCTCCGTGCAGTATATGCGGTGAGCTTTGCATAAATCAGGCTCTTGAATGTACCAAACCCGGGTGCAACTTTATCATCCATTGGAAATGTAAAAATTCTTCTCAGGCAAGTATCCAAAAGCAAATTTCTTATAGAACAACTCAGCTAGATGATGAAGATCAAAGGCTAAATGTTAATGAAGAAATTCGCTTTGAAGAGGATGGAATAGTGACATCTATCAAACTCCCCGTCCATGAACATTTCTTAATTCTTGGTGACGAGGTGAAAGTTGATAATATTTGCGATGCATGCATGAAGCCTGTCTCTGCTCCCTTTTATGGCTGTGAAAGATGCTTATTTTTTCTCCATAAAAATTGCGCAGAATTGCCCAGACAAAAGCGACACCCATTTCACAGACATCAGCTCACTCTTAAAGAGTCAGATCCTGCTGTTGTTGATGACGTGAGTACTTGCAGTGCTTGTTTGCGTTCTCACCATGGTTTTGCATACGTGTGCTACCGATGTAAATTTCAGATTGACATTCAATGTAGTTTATTATCAGACACCTTGAGGCATCCAAGCCATGAGCACCTACTCTTGTTTCATCCTAATTATACAGGTCATTGTAGTGCTTGTTCCAACAATATATATGACAAAGGTGTATACAGATGTGGGAGTGGTTGCGAATTTGTCTTAGATTTCAGATGTAGTACAGAGCCACCTATGGTTAAGTCCAAGTTCCATGAACATCCCGTCAATCTTATCTACCGTGATGATTCTGATCAATATTATTGTGGTATATGTGAAGAGAAAACACATCCAAAGCATTGGTTCTATCATTGTGCAGATTGTTACAATTCTTTTCATTCTGAATGTGTTCTTGGGGAACTCCCATATATTAAGCTTGGGAGCACCTATAATTATTTTGGTCATCGACACTTTCTCACTTTTGTGGAGAAGATGAACAGCTCCCTTCCTTGCAATATATGCCGTAAGCTTTGCAAAAATCAGGCCCTTGAATGTAAGAAGTCTGAATGTGGCTTTATCATCCATTGGAAATGTAGAGGTCAAGGTTGGCAAACAGGTCGATCAACAAAACGCCGTGGCTGAGAATGTATACAGAAGTTATGGGCGGGGGGCTACTTGCTTTTTGGTACCTCTTGGATACTCTGTTATAAGGTTGGAGTCCCTTTTGGTAAACAATAAAGAAGAAAAAGAAAGATTCCATGATTGCTATCTCTTTGATACTCTGCTTCTAAGCCCTGGAAATATATAAAATCTCTTGAATAGTTTGGACAATTTAACGGGTTCAGCCCCGATTGATATTCCTTTGTTCACATTTGCAGGTCCATCGACCATATGGTGCTCTTGTGAAAAAAGGAGATAGGCTTGGAGATAGGGAGTTTGTTGCCCAGCTGTGGATTTTGTTTATAGGGCTGTCCCTGTCTCTTTTGAATACTGCACGTTCTTGCAGTTCTGTTCTCTTGGTGAACATAAAGAAAGAATAAGAATGTCTAATACCACTATTTTTGTTCTTCTGCATAGTATTAGTTTCTCAATTTCAATATTTTAAATCTAACATAACTTTGAGCTTTGACTGGAATTAATGGCGGTTTATAATGTTCAAATGGTTCAATGAAGTCTAGCATATGCAGCCTGAGTTGCAGGATTAATTTGCATCCTGCAGACTACAGTATGCCCCTGGGGAATTAGATGGATGGCTTACTTTCAGCTTGTTTGTACTTGATTGAAAGTCAGGAACAAATTTCAGCAGGAAAATTGTTTCAGGAGTGTGTTTCTTTGTTTTGCATGAGGCCAGTACATAGCGGTTGTGTTAATGCCTCTGGTAATGTGGTTTGCAACTCTTTGTTAGAGTTAGTGCCCATGGATGTCTATTGTTCTTTTCCATCAGCCAACTTGTTAGATATCATTGTTCATGTCATTCCTAGATCCTAATAGTTTGATTTCATTCCTAGTTCCAAGTTCCATCTGAACTTTGCACTAGCTCATGCACTAACCTATCTAGTGGACCAGATTTAAAGAACAAAAGTAGAGTAAAATATAGGAGATCGGGTATTTGTAATACCTTTCCCAAATTGAGTGTTGGGTTAGAGCATTTCAAGTAAAATGGGAGGCCTCTTAAAGTCTTATCAATAGGTGCTTCTAATATATTCAGAAAAAATTACAAACTCAAAGTTGACACCCATCCTGTAATTCATGGAATTTATAGACTGATTTTCATGAGAATAACCAAGTATTGCAAAAGCGATTTTTGTTAGCCATAGGCAGGAGAAGGTTGATGATCATTCTTTCCGTTGTTTAATACAAGAAACAGGCCTGCCACTCTCATTTCTCCTGGCAACAGATGCTGACTGCACCAAATGTGAAAGACTAGAGTTTTCTACGAAACTCCGGGGCAGGGGCACAACCACCACATCTGCATCGTTAAGCAGCTTCCAATCGAAGTGCCCAAGGATCGTCCTGAACCCAGTATGAGTGTGTGTGTGTCACAAAAGAAGAATCTCACTGCAATCAATAGCAATTTATGCATTAAATATTGGGTAGAAATAACCACTATGCACATGCACATGTACATGTGCAGAGATTTAAATGAATTGATAACCATAAATTTCAAAACATCAAGGCACAGACATGCAATACTATACCTTCAACGAACTCAAATGCTCATTCTGGTCAATACCTACAACTGAAGCACCTTAAACAGAGCGAGTCTTGCCGCAGCGTTTGCATTTAGAAATGTGACAAAGCCCAACATAAAATGATTAACCTCTGCTAAACAGGGTGGAAATTCAATATATTCTTCCAAAAAGAAAAATAAACTGAATTTTCTGATAACTAGTTATTTATTGTCAAAGAAATTTATTTCTAGTAAAAACTTTTTCACCACAAATAAATGACTATTTTTCAAAAAAAAAAAACTTTACTGTTAAATTTTATTATTTTTTTATCATTGTATTCTTAAAAAGTAAAAAAAAAAAACAAAAAAAGTGCTACTATGGAGTAAATTTTGTTTAACCTCCGATCACGTTGCACCTGATGTCTGGAATCACGAAAGTGAGAGCAAGCAGAGAAAAGTAGGCACGCTCCCACACTTGAAAAAGCGTTGGTCCTCTTTCCTTGAAACACTACTCTGTACTCCATCCGATCTCTTCACAATATAAACCATTTGAAAAGAGGGTATATATATATACATATCTCTCTCTCTCTCTGTTTTTCTTTTCTCTAAGAGAATAATACCCTAATCTGACCTTTCACATTGTTCGGGGAATGGCTTGGGATTTGATTTTCTGGATTCTCTGTTTCTTCATCAACATAGCTCTCTTCGCTTCAACCTTTTATCAGGTAATTATTTTCCTTTCTTCTCTTTGTCAAAATTTCATTTTAAAATACTGTGAGTAATCCTTTGTTTTTTTTTTTTTTTGCGTGTAGTTGTTGTCGTTATCGGATCTTGAGGTTGATCATCTGAATCCCTTCGAAGCATCGAGCCGGATTAATGCGGTTGTTGTCCCGGAGTTTCTCTTGCAAGGACTGCTCTGCGCTCTGTTCCTGCTGACCTGGCATTGGTTTATGTTTCTATTGTTTCTTCCCCTTACTGCTTATCATCTCATGCTGTAAGTATATCTATTAGTTGTTTCACTAAATTAAAAAAAAAAAAATTGCAAACATTTAAGTTTATACTGGTTGTTGAGCTCGAGTCGGATTTCTTTTGCCTTACTTGGTTTGGTTTAGGTCAATATTTGAGGTTTTATCGGTGGAAAATGATGGTAATGTGTGTGCATTGTTGATTTGGTTTCATAAACTTCGTTGCCGTAGGTGGCATTTCAGTAGTGTGTTTGTGATAGGCAAGAACGAGATAGAAAATATTACCAGTAGCCTGTGTTTGTTGAACCGATATTTCTTTGATCTAAAGTGAATGGTTTGGTTTTAATTTAGAACTTTGATTTGGATCCTTGCAAAGAGATCTTATCATGCTTTCTAATGGATTTATCATGTTTTGAAAGTTGTGAAATTTCTATAAGCTTCTATCACCATTCAACAGTGGCAGACGTGTGTGGTTGTGTCAAAGATAATTCTTCAAACAATAAGGTTTTTAAAAGGAAAAAAGTTTTGTTTGTAAATGGTATCTGTACGCAATGCTTGCATCAGGTTTCCTGTATAAGTTGTTGACAAAAGAAGTCAACGAGTGAATAAACTAACTTACCTTGTCATGGTTGTATGGTATCATTATGTTTTGGCAACTTTTTCTATTTAATTTGTGACTGCACTATGTTTGTTAATGATTGCTAATTGAATTTTTCAGGTACTTGAATCGGAAGCATCTTATCGATGTCACTGAGGTTTTCAGAGATATTGACAAGGAGAAAAAATATCGATATGTCAAGCTGGGCATTTATTTAGTTCTCTTCACTTTAGTTTTGTTCAGGTTGGTTCTGCAGTTAAACAATACTTTGTTTCTGATTAGCTAGTTTTCTAATTATCCTTTATTATTTCTGCCTCGCCATGTACTTATCTCATGATTTAATTTTTCTAATTAAGCTTTTCCCTCTTTGTTGAGTGTAGAATTCTTGCCGCGAGCATATTCTTTTTCCGTTCCAAATTTGAAGAACTAGACCTTCGATCCTCTCATTTCTACTAGTATTTTAGGAACCCTTTGGTTAGTCGTCTTGTCATAATATAGCCTACACATGTACTATGTCACTCTGTTCTTGAAGTAGGTTGCCATTTCACCTTATGATGCATATACAGTTTGGATTCTTGTAAATATCGCATGCATGAGTAAGTTGGTGAATTTACTGTTACATTATGCGAAGTAGCTTCTAATTTCTCCAAAATTTAATGGTAATCCATCCATTGTGATATCTGATTTCATTTGATTTCTCAGGAAACTTTTGATTGTTTAAGATCCATGAATTTGATTTTCGAAACTGAAATTTTTCCATAAAGCAATTGTTATTAATAAAGTTATGGCATATGTGCAAACAAACTTATTTCAACATGTATGGAACATCCAATTTCCATTAAGAGATATTATGTGTCTTGGACTCAAAGTGTTTCTGGTCCTGACATTTAGCACGTTAGCTATACTTAATGTATCTTATAAGTACTGAAAAGTATTCAAACTTCATGCAAGCATCATTTGTTTATATTTCTCTGAGGGAAATTATCATCTGTACTACAAAAATTAGTAGAATTGAGTAGTTTCTTACGGTAAACTGCCAGTGGTGTAGATCCATGTGACCGATTTCCTCTAGCTAGGACAATGGCTAAATTAACAAAATGCAGGTGTTTCTGGACCCTATCCAGAAACGTTGTTGAAAGAGATGTTTATGTATGGTCACACTAAGGACAACTGAACTCTTCTTTTCATTGGCTTGAAGAGATTGTGGTTCTGTTTTTTGCTGCCTTAGGATTTGAAAGAACAAAAATTTAGGCTTTAGATGACCCAGACCATAATTTGGTTGAGTTTCCTTGAACAAATCCAAGAGCAGTGGCTGTGACTGTGTTATATGAGAAAATGGTAAAAGTTAAGAATAGTCAAATGTGAAATGAATGAAAAAGAGACTGTTTTGATATCATGTGAGTTTTATGTGGAACCGTAATGAACGTCAAGCAATATAAATGTTGATTTAAAACAAGCCATGAAGTTTGGTTAATTATTGATCAAGTCTGATAGTGTTGGCTGTATATTTATCTATGCCAATCATCTCACTTATTTGGGCATAATTCAATATGACTAAAATATCGAAGGATGTTATAGCTGAGAAAAGGTTTGTATTTTAGAGAAATAGAATGTTTGATGTTTAGGGCCTTTTGGCTTAAAGAGTTTTCTTTGTTAATTAGTTTGATTATCTCTTTGTTTCTGCCTTATTGAAGGAGCTCTCTCTCTCTCTCTCTCTCTCTCTCTCTCTGTGTGTTATACATGCTGATAATAACCGTCAATTTGCAGGCTTATAATATCTGCTTTCAGCTCTTTACTTGATGAGGATGAGGTGCATGCATTTTGATTCCTGGGCAGTACGGTAGGCTGTATTTGTAAATTCGTTATCCATATTTCTGATCCATATAGAAAGTGAAACTTAGCTGACAGGTGTAGATGTATCAGAACTTAGAAGTTTCTCCACTGTTTTTTACTCGGGCAGTCATACGCCTTGATTTACCATGCCTGATTCTTAGATATGAATGAGAGGTTCTGAAGACAGTGTTTAAGGTTTGAAGAATGATGAAGAGATTGGATTATTATCCTCCTCAAGAAGTGATTAAATCAAATCCCTTCTCAGTGCCATCTGATATTTCATGGCTTCACCAACATTTTTGTTTCTTATTAACTTACTACAGTGATTGATAGTTAATTATCCAAAAAAAAAAGGGGGGGAAAGACTTTTGATAGTTGTAGTAGATACTTTCACACTAGATATCGTTAAAGACAATAATGAGGATAGAAGAATAAAGAAGGCATTCTACTTAAAAATGGCGAGGTTATATGAGGTTCAAGAGATACTATACAAAATAATTCCATTTTAGCATAAGTCAATCCTCATTTACCACTAGTTATTTGTCTAGAGCTGTATATATTTTTTTTCTTTTATAATTTATGGAAGAGCAAAATCAAATGCAAATGGCGTCATAAGTTTTTGTTTAATTCATCACTAAAGTTGAAAGTATGATAATCTTCTTTTCTATCTTTTTTCTTTTAAAAAGAAAGGTTAATAATGTTTAGATTCATAAAAACGAAACAAAAAATGTGCAAATTTTGCATTAAAATTATCAAGGAATCTTGAAGTAACTTGTGCATATTTGTTATGAATTGGGATATGTAAGTCAAGATTTCGTGATAACTAGTAGGTCTAATGGGCAAATGAACTGCAAGGATGATGGCTAATTCTTAATTTTTATTTTGCTAGTATCAGCTTGGAATGCTATACATATATATATATATATCTCAGCTCTGCTTAGCTACCAAAGCTTGCTTGGTTTTTTCATACCTGTGGACTGGTTCGACATGCTTCTCCCGATGTCGGCCTGATTAGCAAATTGTATAATCTGGACAGAGTGCTAATTTACTCAAACGTGAATCATTGTTCAGCTGATTATTTTTGTTACGTAATTCATTATATCTATACAAGTTTCATATAATTCATTTCTCTTACTAATTCCATGCAGCAGGCTTTTTAAGCCTGACACATGACGGACCAGGCCCCTAGCATCTTTAATGAGGGTCAAGCTCAAGCAAAGCAGCTGCAGTGCACTGCGGCCTAGACCATGTTAAATTTTCTGGGCCTGCTTTCGGCCCAATATATGAGACTACAATCCAGTATCAGAGCTGGGCCGATAATGAACATTTTGGGTACCTAACCATTCACATCAAAGATAGGGCCCCACTTTATCAAACCGCAACAGTTTGTGTGTGCCCCGCCTACCGTAGGCGGCTTGACAACAGCTTGCCTTTCTTTGTGACAATCAAAAAACATTTGCTTATAATTTGATGACTGGGCCCACTTGGGTAGCACCATCAACCCCCGTAGGCCCCACATCTGATGGTAAATTTTTAACCATTGATTTTTGGCCCCACAAAAAAACTGGTCCGTGACCCTTCGGCCAGCATGATGGGTCATTTTCCGGTTTCCTAATGTTTGACGCAAGGTGGGCTTTCCTGTTTTTATCCCCACACTTACAGGACCCACCTTTAGCATTTTGCTGTACTTGTCAATTTTTTCATCATAAATAAATATCCTAATTTATTATGAAAATACTTTTAAGTACTTTTTTTTTAATTTGAGAAAAAAGAAATTTAAACCCAATTTTTGGAGTAAATAATACATACATCTATCATTAAATAAACCTTTTAAATGCGATAATACTTATATTTTATTTGAAGTTATACGCATGCTATTTGATATCCATACAAAACAAAGCTAGACAAACAATTATCGAAATATAATCATAAATTTATTACAAAATTTTCATAAAATAATTGAAACTAATAATTCAGTCATAAAAAAATCTTTTTTTATATAAAATTATTTAAGGTGAAAAACATGTCAAATCTTTGGAAAACCTTCATCCTAAAAAAAAATTACCAAAATAGCAGAAAGAGAGCTAATCAATTTTTGTTAAAGAGACAAAAGATGAAAAAAAATAAAAATTAAAAACTTTTAAAACTAATATGTTGAACTTAACAATAATAAAAAGATTCATAATAAACAATAATTTTATATAATATATAAATTAAAAGAATAAGAAAATAAAGACTTGTAATAATGTTTTAGAAAAGTTATGCTCAACAATGTTTCTTGGATTTAAATTCATCAATTCTTAAATCTATATTAAAAAGGGTGGTAATATCTTTCTCAATATAAACAACTAAATTATGTGTAAGAAACTCATTATCTATTTTGCTCCGGAATCTTATTTTCTCAATTTTCAATGTTGAAAATGCTTTCTCTTGCTATAGAGACTATAAGAGTCAAAATAAGACAAGTTAATCTATTAATCAAGCGGTAATTTCTTGAGTTTCCTTCTTCTGCTAATCTCTGACACAATTTAAAAAATGTCTTAATATATTTAAAACCCTGGTAATAAAGTATATCACACTCGTTATGCCTCAATTATAATCTCAAAAGAAATCTTTCTTCCTTCATGAAATCCTGAGAATAAAAGCTCTCTACAGACTTGTAAATATCATCAACGTTGAATGATTTATAATTTTGATTAAGATCCAAGGTATAAATAGTTATTTTATTTCTATTTAAATTTAAAATATTAAATATAAAACTATAATGCATAGAATACAAATAGTTAAATATGATATATAGGATTTCACATAATAATTAAATATATAAATAGTTAAATAATATAAATTGAAAGAAAAAGATCAAAAAATACTTTACCTTCTCTTAATTTCACACAATGGTGGTGAGTGGTTTTCATCTTTCCTTGTCGAAACTCATAAGCTCATAAATTTCTTTTAAAGAGTGAAATGTGGTTTAGTGGTGAGTTACAAAAAAGGGGTAAATAAAAATAAAAGAATAAAAGATCAAAGATAGGGGTGTGAAGAAACTTAAATTAGAATCAAGTTACGTAGGTTAGTGAAGTCATTTTATTATTTTTGTTATGAATATTTTTGTGAATATCTATCTATGTTATTTATATCTAGATTTGATGTAAAGTAGATTGGTTAAGGATTTAATCCATCTAATTTTTAAATGTTATCTTTATCTTGTAAATTTTATTGAAATAAGGAAGTTATTTGCCTATAAATAAGCCTCCTCAGTTCATTTGTAAACACACATTTCAATAAAATTTCTTCTCTCTTTCTAAATAGTTTTTTTCATCTCTTTAATTGTTCTTTTAAGTTATCTTTATTTGTTTTTTTAAGTTATATTTTCATAACACGTTATCAGCACGATTCTCTAATCTCTCACTCACAAGCTTCTTAAAGTCGAAGTTCAATTTTTTTTTAGGTAATTTTTGTCTGTTGTCTCTTTATTGTTTTACCCAAATTTTATCAATTTATAATAAGTCAATTTTGAATTTTATATTAATTATTTTTCATCAGCCAATTTATTGTTTTGCTTGCCAATTATTATATATTGTGTGATACTAACATATATGTTCTTCTTTTAAGCTATTATCATGTGAAATCTTACAAAGCTTGAATTTGTGGCCTTTGATATTACTTGTAAGAACTATTTATCTTGGATTCTTGATGCTAAAATCCATTTAAATACTATGGGTCTTGGAGACATAATCAAAATAAATAAATAAATAAAACATCCAATCATGATAGGGCAAAAACAATGATTTTCTTTCATCACCATTGTAATGAAGGATTAAAAATTGAGTATCTTACAATAAAAGATCCGGTCGATCTTTTAAAAAGTCTAAAGGAAATATATGATCATCAGAAAACAGTAATGCTGCCAAAAACTTGTTATTATTGGATGCATCTGCTATTGTAAAATTTTAAAACTGTAAGTGAGTATAACTTAGCATTATATAGAATTAGTTTTAAACTAAAATTGTGTGAAGAAAATGTGATTGATGCTAATTTGTTAGAAAAAACATTCTCTATCTTTCACACTTCAAATGTGCTCCTACAACAGCAATATTGTGAAAAAAGTTTTAAAAAATATTCTGAACTGATTTCGTGTCTTCTTATGGTTGAGGAAAATAACGAGCTATTGATGAAAAATCATGAATCTCGCCCAACTGGTTCTGCTTCATTCCCTAAAGTAAATACGACATTATTTAAAAATTCTAGTCTTGGTTGTAGTCGTGGACGTAATCGTGGTTACAATCGTGGATATGGAAGAGGTCATTATAATTATCGCAGTCATGGTGGTTATATAAATTATTATTTTGATAATAAAAATACCCACTAGAAGCGGATGAATAATAAAGAGATAAAAAAAAAACAAAGGTGGACAAAGTAAAAAGAATATAGAAAATGTTTGTTATCGATGTGGCATGAAAGACAATTTGTCATATACTTGTCATAAGCCTAAACATCTTGTTGAACTTTATCAAGCATCATTAAAAAATAAAAAAAAATATCAAAATAAATTTTGTTGAAGTTGATAACCAAGTTGATATAACACACTAGAATGTTGCTGATTTTTTTGCTCACCCCGAAGGATAAATTGATCGTTTGATTGGTGATGAAAATCCCAATAATGAAATTTTTTAAATTATTTGTTGATGTATTTTAGTACAACTTTATTAAAAACTTAGTATGTTTAGTATAATTCTATTAAAAAGTTAATGTGTTTTAATATGTTTATTAGGAAGTTTTTGTTATGTGTTTTAATAACAAAGCTTATATTTAATGTTCTCTTATGTAAGTTTCTTACTATATATATATTTTATTTTTTAAAAAAAAATATAGATATTCATCTGGTTAGATCCAAGATCAATGATGAAGATAT